TTTAAAAAAATTAAAACAAAACCAGAAAACTGTTTTTCAATACGGACTGTAAAAAAAATTTACAGTCCGCACCTCCAAAACCAGGCCGTTCCTCATTTTATCAGAAAACCCCTTTATTCCTTCAATTCTCTTCACAGTTCACACCAGATCTCATTCCCCTTCATCTTCTTCGCACTCCAGACCCTCTTCTTCCCGTCTATACCTGGTGAAAAAGCTTGAAGACGGTTTTCCCCAAAATTTCCCTGCCCCGCAGTTCCCCTGGATTTACATCATGTGGGCAGAAACCGCCTCCTTTCCTTCCCCACTCATTGCGAATTCGCCAACGAACTATAGAAGCCATAAAGACTAGAGGCTGAGATCCCTCTACGATTTTCCTCTGGCGAGCAAAATCATGGTTAGAAGTAAAGGCTTTTTCCTCTCTCTCCTTTTTTGTTCCCCCACAAATTTGATTTACTTCTTATCTGGGTTTTTCCCAATTCTTTTTCTTTTTTTTTTTCTTTTAATTTGTTAAAAGTTTGAAACTTTACTTATCATGAATTGAGAAGGTAGTGGACAATGGTTCATTCTTGTTGATTTTTTATTCACTAGGAATCTGGTGGCTGTGACAAAATTTTGCTCCGAATCCCTAAATTCTCAATTCAACTTCCTTATCCAAACTCATGGTCATGGGTCCTTTCTTCTTCGTTTTCTTCCTTATTTCAACAAATCAGAATCAATTACCCTTTTTTTTTCCGCTACGATCTCAATTCATGGCATCGCCAAGGTTGGAGCCGACTTTGATCTACTGGATGAAGAAGGTCGAGGTGGATTCTCAGATCCAACGGATATCGGGGGGTTTTAGCACTGGCTGCATGGATCTGATTACGGGATGCGATCTCTTAATAGCATTCCAAGGTTTTGACTCCTGGTGGTCTAGGAGATGATAAGGGGTTAGATCTTGCTACAGTGGGTTAGATCTTGCTACAGTAAAAGTGTAAGACTGTTCTGCCTTAGCTCTGGTCTTACCTCTAACTTAGATTTACTTTTTTTTTTTTGGGTGAAGTCAGGTTTGTAGAGATCCGGGACCTGTTGTGAGGGAGCTTATGTCCAATTTCGAAGATGTTTACGGAAAAGGTATATATCTTTCAATTGTGTCTTTTCTATTGGAAGTAAGTTAGGCTTATGTTTTTCAATTGTGTCTTTATGTTTTCTTGTGTGATTTCTCTGTCAAAGTGTCAAGTCTCCAGCTTGCCCAATTCTGAAAAAAAAAACCCCACTTGTTCTTAGACAATAATCTCTGTCAAAGTGCTGCTTTTGGTTCCATTTCCATAATTTGGTGTTAGCTTGGCTTTGGTGTACTGTCCTGCCAGCCACCAAATTTAAAGTGCGATATCCCTGATCCTCCCGGTTTCGCTCGTGCCTCTATAGATCAGGTTCCTTTCCGTCTCCTTCTCACCGTCTGTCCTTTCAACTCGCCATCTTCAACTTTTGACTTTGCTTAACTCTCAATCCCTATTTTATTTTAGGATGATTCTGCACTGTGTAAGCAAAAGAAGGACGCTGAGGCTAATTGGAAATCCCAGGTAATTATTTTCCTCCCTTAAGCTTTATTTTCTTGCTGAATTAGCCTTTTTGGGGAGATGAGAAGTGGCTATTTAATTTGGATCTTAAGAGAGTTGAAATTGTTTGTTGTGTTTAATCTGAGAAGAATAATTCAACACTGCTTATTTATTGGAGTTTTTGAAAATTTGTAGTCTATGAATGTATGTGGAAACAGTGATTTGATAATAATTATTGTGAAGCTTGTTACTGATTATAATAGGTTTGGTTTTGTCATAATGTGGACATAAATTTGTATGATAATGTGTAGTAGTAGATGTTGTCTTGGTTGTGGCAGTTTGGACATTTGGAATCAAGTTTCTGAAAGTTTATGTTTTTCCCAAGTTATAAAATAGGTTATTTGGCTTGATTGCCCTTTCATAATTGAACAGAAAGCTTGGGAAGTGGCGCAAGCGCCTTTTAAGAATTTGATGATGATGGGATTTATGATGTGGATGGCTGGCAGTACTGTACATCTCTTTAGCATTTAAATTGCGTTTAAAATCTCACAAGAGATCATCTTTATGACCTTACTTAGGGACCATATGCAGTGTAATCTCATTTGCATCTCACATCCTCATATCCTGTTATATATTGCTATAAGGCCGAACACTCTCTTTCTTGGGCCTTAACACTTGTACATAGCCTTCATTATTATTCATTATAGGTTCTAAAGGATTACCCATGTCAAACAACTTGCCCATAGAGATTATTACAATAGTACATTCAACTACAATGCCAAAAACATCAACTACCTCAGTTTGGCATTTACAGTTTGACCCATAACATTTGGTTTACTCTTGGGTTCTGTGTGAGTTGCTGGAGGGTTGAGTATGAGTTCTTTTTGGTTATTTTGATGGTTCAAAGCAATCTAATTAACTTATTGTCTTGCTAGGTTCTGTTGAAAGACAGCCTTTGAGGAATGCAAGCAAGGATCACCTGAGATTGCTCCAAGGATTTCAGGTAGTCCTACTACCCTTTGTTTGGCCTTTTGTTATTCAATTGTGTTAAGGCATAATGAATGGACAGCATGAAATGGTAAAACTAATATCCATACATATATGTGAACAAAGTTTATATTTCCTCCAATACATTTCATTCTGCAATTCTATTTATAATTCCATGTGGTAGGGTGTAATGGTGTATGAACCATGAGCTGTATATATGCAATACAATACATGCCAAAAATAATGTTTTGAGATATGCTGAAATCGTTAATGGTAGATGATGTAGTTCATAACCCAAAACTGTTTGCATTGCATTCTGTATAATGCACTGGTGACATCACCCACCAAAGATGTCTCCATTAGCCTCTGATCTCTACTGTTGGGGTGGAATTGGGACAAAGATTTGGTTGGTGGTGAATGCTGGTACATTCAGGAATACAAAAGCATCACCGACAATTAATTCAAATGGTGGGGCCAGCATCAAGATGGTTTCTGGGTGCTGCATTTGAGCACCGTATTCAGCTAGGCACCTGAGGCTTTGTCACCTGTATATGATATTTACATCTTGCGCCAATGGATTTCCATGGTATGCAAAAAAATTCTGTTGGTCAAAAAATTTTATACAAGTTATGAATAGAGCTTTTAAAAGAGGAGTTTATAGTTTAGCTGATCAAAGGTATGTGCTTCATTCATATTAAGTGTGGTGATCTCAAGTGAGCTATTGTCTTGCTGTGAGTGTCACTAGGTGGAGTGCATTCAGCTTGGAGTCTGCATAAAATGAAATCAGCTTATTAGTGTGCACATAGTAAATTCATCAAAAGAAAAAAATGAGGGGGCAGAGGGTTAAAGAGTAAAGGGAATACGCCATGAGTGGTTGTAGAAGGGTCCAAAAATTTGTTGAAGTTGACCCCTCAGAACAGCAAGATCGATCCTGATCCTTTGCCTGTGTTGATGGAAGTTTAAATTTAGGTTCATCGGCTGTCCCAAATGTCCATGTTTATAAATTGTGAGTGTGTTCCTTGCGCAGTCCATACCAACATGCTCCTGCATGTTTGGGTGGTTTTGGTACACAAAAGATTATTATAATGGGTAGTTCCCTTCTTTCATTTAGAAAACCTTACTTCTATAAATAGTGGAGTTAGGGAGTGGCATGACTCATTGGTTGTCATTAGGGAGAGGAAGACCTAAGTCTCAATACTAACTATATTTGTTTTGTAGAATGGAATTATGATGATCCTTGGTGATCTTTGGATAACATAGTGATTATGGAGATTAAGGTATGCAATTTATTTATTTTGTTATATCTTATTACCCTAAATTCTACACATGTTGATCATTAAATTTTAACATGTGCTATCAGAGTGGTTATGTGTGATTTAGGATCTAGATCGTAATTATTTAAAATTGTTTCTTGTATATATGTTTCTGGAAAGTTGGGATGAAATCTTTTGTTTTCATAAATTGTTGATGCTTTGAAGTTGAAACTAAAAGATGGCTTTATGATTGAGTATGTTTAAGCGCTAATTGGTGATTGAGTTTGAATATTCTATTATGCTAAAATTCTCTGTTGATTTTGAGTGTGTTTCTGATGTAATCAGACCTTGACTTGTTTGGTGTTGTTAGATTTATGCTAAGGTGATTATTGATCCATGGTGGTTAATTGGATTAAAATCAAGAATTATAATTGAGAAATTGATTGGTTTCATTGGTGTGGTTTTGACAAAACCAGAAGAAATTTTGATTTGGAGGTTCTCAGGTTCCTTTGTTTTTAAATCGTGATTAGATTCTGGGGGTACGCTAGTGAACAATCAAGAGGCCTTAGATTCAATAAAACATGCTTCTATAATATCTTCTGTGATTCAAAATTGATGTTTCAAGGTTTGGTTTGATTAATTTGTTAAAGCCAAACAAATTTGCCTTAATTTGAACTTCTTTTAATCATGTTTTATCTAGGTCAAATCTTGATTTTACTGATCTATTTATTCTGGTTGTGATGGTATATTGTGGAGTTCAATTGAAAAGTTTTGTGGGGAAATGGTTTGGTGGTTTGGTGGTATAAACTGGGCAGTTGCCAATTTAACTAAAATCTAGTTTCTTGTTGTGAAACCGATTCTCATGGTTAGAGCTGATTGAAGTGAAATTTCGTGTCTAGTTCCTTAATGGTTTTGTTGAATGTAATGTTATTTCTAAAATTTTAAAAGTTTACAACATATTATAAAATCAAAGATACTGTTGATACAGTAGCGATGGATAGCCATAAAGTAAGGATTTGACCATATGAACGAAGTGAAGTTCATATATAAAGGAAAAATTCAGCATATAAAAAAAATTAAAAAGATATAAGAACAATGGATATTTAATTCTTTTGTCTTTTTTAAGTGTTCAAAATAATCTTTATAAATGATTATGTGATACAAAGCTAGTTAAGTCTTGGGGGACTTACGGATTTGTATTATCGTGTTTTTCTATTGTTTAACATCTTTTTATTTTATAACTGTTAGCTAATTTAAAAGAAACTTTTTAAAAAATAATAATAATAAAGTTGAGGGGCCAATATTGTTATTTTATTATTAAAAAAATTTGCATGATGGGGCAAAAGTCCGACGCGGATTTGTTTTCACGTGGGTGTAGGTAAGCAATTATCAGCTATTGTGCAAGTCTGATACAATATGAGTGTGTTGACATTAATTAATTTTCAGTAATTGAGCATTAGGAATTTTAATTTTTTGATGTTACTCCCACTTCTCTTCAACTTGGAATTCTTTTAATTGTATATTGTTTTTTAATGATATAGAGAGAGAATAATATCAAATACTTTATTAATACAAAGAGAAAGAATAAATAGAGATGATTGAGAAATTTTTATAATTTTATTTAGTAACAAATTAGGTTAAATACTAATGTTGGTTCCCTACCTTTATAGTTTTGCATAATTTTTATTTTTTAATTTTTTTATGGACTTTTTTGATCCCTCAACTATAAAAGTATGCTTTTTTAATTCTTTTGTCAATTAATTTGTTAAATTTATTAATACACATTTTAATCTGTTAATTTATAATATATATACATTTTTAGCCCCCTTAATTTAAAAGGTTGAGGATTAAAAATGTACATATATAGACAAATTTAATGGATTAACTAATAGAAAGATTAAAAAAATACATTTTTTATAATTGAGAGACCAAAAAAGTGCATAAAAATGTTAAGGTCAAAAACTAGTGGTGTTCACGGTTGGATTGGTTCAGATTTTAACATTTTTAGAATCAAACCAATTTAATCACTTAATAAAATGTTTGAACCAATTCAACCTATTGTTATATTATAATCAAACTAATCTAATTCAGATCGAATCAATGTGGTTCGATTAGATTGATTGATTTTTAATATTATTTTAATTACTGCAAATTTTTGGACCCTTCTACAACCACTCAAGGTGTATTCCCTCTACCTTTTAACCCCCTGCTCCCTCATTTTTTTGTTTTGATGAATTTACTATGTGCACACTAATAAGCTAATTTCATTTTATATAGACTAAATTAAGATCACTTCTCCTAATATGAATGAAGCGCATACCTTTGATTGGGTAAACTATAAATTCCTCTTTTAAAAGCTCTGTTTATAACTTGTATTCATTTCATCTTGTTAACTTGTATAAAATTTGTTTACCAACAGAAGTATTTTGCACACCATGGAAATCATTGGTGTAAGATGTAAACATCACATACAGGCTACAAAGCCTCAGGTGCCTAGCTGAATATGGCACTCAAATGCAGCACCTGGAAACCATCTTGGCCCCACCATTTGAATTAATTGTGGGTAATCTTTTTGTATTCCCGAATGTACCAGCATTCACCACCAACTAAATCTTTGTCCCAATTCCACCCCAACAGTAGAGATCAGAGGCTAATGGAGACATCTTTGGTGGTTGATGTCATCAGTGCAGTGTCCAGAATGCAATGCAAACAGTTTTGGGTTATGAACTACATCATCTACCATTACCGATTTCAGTATATTTCCAAACATTATTTTTGGCATGTATTGTATTGCACATATACACTTCATGGTTCATACGCTCTAATACCGTGTGGAATTAGAAATAGAACTGCAGAATGAATTGTATTGGAGGAAATATAAACTTTGTTCACATATATGTATGGATATTAGTTTTACCATGTCTTGCTGATCTTGCTGTCCGTTCTTTATACCTTAACACAATTGAATAACAAAGGGTAGAGGACTACCTGAAATCCTTGGAGCAATCTCAGGTGATCCTTACTTGCATTCCTCAAAGGCTGTCTTTCAACAGAACCTAGCAAGACAATAAGTTAATTAGATTGCTTTAGTCTATGAAAATAACCAAAAAGAACTCATGCTCAACCCTGCAACAACTCACACAGCAGTAAATCACAGAGAACCCAAGAGTAAACCAAATGTTACGGGTCAAATTGTAAATGCCAAACTGAGGTAGTTGGTGTTTTTGGCGTTGCAGTTGAATGTAATGTTGTAACAATCTATATGGGCAAGTTGTTTGACATGGGTAATCCTTTGGAACCTATAATGAATAATGATGAAGGCTATGTACAAGTGTTAAGGCCCAAGAAACAGCCTAATGGCAGTATATAACAGGATATGAGGATGTGAGATGCAAAATGAGATTATGGGGCATATGGTCCCTAAGTAAGGTTATAGAAGGTGATCTCTTCGAATGCAGTTTCATTGCAGTGCGTTGGTATTCACTTACTCTATTAAACTGTCATGATTTTAGTATTTTCTTTATCATTATGCGTAAAACATATTACTTGATGTACAAATTTTATGACTTGTGAATGAAATTACTTTCATTTTTTTTTCAATTTTTCTTGCTTGCATTTTAACATAAACTTAGTCATAAGTGCATACATTTCAAAATTATTTTGTAAATTTCTTTAGAAAAGACAAGGATTTCTTTTTTTGAGATCTTACATAGAATGCATATTTTATAATCATTAGTGTGAGATAAAATTTTTAATTTTAAGTAATTTCTTATTATTAATAGTTATAAAATGTGCAATCTATCCAAAATAGTTATATACATATTAAATTAATGCTATATATATATATTTTGAACAATTTGACATAAGACGAGATCGAATCTGTCCAAGAGGGAGGAGGATGTACATATCTTTTTGAACGTGATTAATACCACTAGGTTCGAAACGCGAAGTGCAAATTAATGCTATATTAAATCAATGCTAAAGAAAAAAAATGCATTTTTGTAATCAATCGTATCTACATTGACTCCGTACAATATTGTCCACTTACTATTGTACTAGAAAATTACCTTAAAAAAGTTTCCATTCAATGACAATAATTGCTTATATATATATTAATACTTTTGATTAATTTGAAATTAAGTCAAATTAGACATTATTTGAAATTAAGTCAAATTAGACATTATAAAAGAAAATTTTCTCGTATTTATTTTTTTATTTATAAAACTTAAATTTAAGATTTTATTTAGAAGAAATTAAACTCTTTTGACAATAATTATTATGCTTATATAGGCTATGATCATTAGGGCATTTAGAGGAAACCATATTCATAAATTTTCTTCTTGTCTGTCAAGACTCATCAATTAGGGTGGCAAATTTTATTTTCTTCTGCTTGTTTGGTGCCACAATTGCAATCTTACCAATCTGGTAATTCCCCGAGTACAGATGTGTCAAGCTCAGAAGTCAGAATCTTTGACACGAGCTTTATCCTGATATTTGCTTCACTGCATAAGAAAGGTCTTGACAGTTGAGGAAAAACCATATGCTTCTGTTTGATGTCATGGAAATTTAATGCTATCCTGTAATTAGCCTGTTATTAGATTAGAGAAAACTCTCTTCCAAGGGTACAAAGTGACCTTTATTGCTTTTAGTTCAGAGACATCTAGGCCACCGAAGAACTTGTTGCCTTCTTTAAAGGCTTCTAACACCTGCTTCACCTATTAATGGGCATCTCTGGATAGCTTATTGGCTGTTTGAAAATAATGTAAACTATTCATTGCCTGAAGGGACAAATTCATTTTAAGAAAATTATATTCTATCTATAAAAATTTAAAAGGGAAATATAGCAAATATATATTTCAAGATGTACCAGCGGTCTTTCGGAGGAAGGAGTACAAAAGCATCCTCCAAGCTGAGCCGTTACTGCCAGAATAATTGAAGTAGCAATTATATTCCTGTACAGATACAAATGAATCTCATTCATCAAAAAATATATCTTGAGTAGCAATGATGACACAACCATGTATCACAAAACGTAAGCAATCCATTAATGAAGGATGTGGTGTAACCGTGTTAATAATTGGAAGTTCAGCAAGAAAACTATGAAGTAGGTCAAAATCAGATGGTGAAATTGTGTCAAAAAGTAGGTCAAAATCAGATGGTGAAATCAACTTCTTGTTGTTGTTGTTGTTTAAAATCAATACTTTGTCTTCTTCTTCTTGTTGTTTAAAATCAATACTTTGTCTTCTTCTTCTTGTTGTTTAAAATCAATACTTTGTATTGTAATAGGCAATAACAATGCTCACCTAATGCTTTGTAAGCCAACAGCTGTAAGTTGAAAATTGAGAAATTATATAATTAATTATATTTTTTTGGAAAAAGGCAAGCTTTTCCATTGCATGTAAACCACATATCCACAATAATCACCCAGGCATGCCCGGGGTTAACATCATCTAATACTCAAAATTGCAATTTCAAAAAGTAAGAAATTCTTCTATTAATGTTATCTACTGTACTTGACTTGTCCTTAAACAAACTTGTATTTCGCTCCTGTCATATGTAGTATATTGAGGCAGCTCGTGCAGCACGGAGCTTCCTCTTAATAATAGCTCTTCCTCTTCCATGTCCTAGTATCCATCTCCATTCATTTGTCCAAGACAAAGGTTCCCTCTTAATTTGAAAAAATACCAAGCCAAGCTTCCAAACACTTCTGGGAAATTCAAACTGAAAAAAAAGATGCTCAACATTTTCCATATACTTACCCCACAAAAGCAGCATTCTAGATCAATGATCATGCCCCTGGATGCCAAGAAGACTTTAGTCTTCAATCTACCACGCACAACCAACCATAGAATAAAACTATGCCGAGGAAAATTTCCACTTGACCAAACTAGTCTATGCCAATTAACTTTCAGTTGCTTAACTCTCGACAAATTATAGCAACTAGCAATAGAAAAGCAACCAGATACAGTAGGCCTCCACACGACCTTATCCTCCCTATCTTGGAGACTTTTAGATAATTAATTATAGTTCAATTGCCAAAGCTTAATTACCTTCAATTTAGTGTGGCTTCCTTTTATTTTCATTTTTTCTGCATAACTTCTCAGTAAATCATTAATCTAATGTTTATAATTGTTGAATTAAAAAGTGATATTACTTCATGAACAAAGTTGCACTTATAAATGAGTTTGACAGCAACCTACCACACCTCTCTCTAACATAATATCCATTTCTCAAACACAGAAAAGGGTGAGAAAGAAAATCCAAACCCTCAAAACAACAATCTTCAGACAACATGAATCAATTAAATTCTTCATAACAAGTAAACCAACAAAGAAAGATGTTTTGGACTAAATTTTGGAATTATTACCATTTCTCATTCCTCATCATCTCCAATCATTTGATCATCGCATTTTTTTGTAGCTAATTCCTTTCGAAATTTGATGAGCAAATTTTCCATTGATGAGTGCAATTGCTGTGCAAGAGAAATGGTGCTAGCAAAACCCAATTTGTTGATATCTGTGAATCCCGATAGCATTCACGGCCAAAGAGTTATACAGGGAGAATAAGAAAACTAAAAAAGAGGAAAAAAAAAAAAAGGAAAAAGAAAGAAACACCATCCCTTTTCATGAATAAAACATAAAAGTCCCTTTCCTTGCCAAAATCCACACCACCCCCTCTTGATTATATTCGGTTCAATCCCCTTTCTGGTCTTATTGGTTACATTGAAGGAAGTCGTAGAATTGTACCTAATTCATTTTCTCATTAAATTCAGAATTTTTTTAGTTTATAGATCAAATAAAAAATCTATACAATAATTAAGCAATCAAATTAGAGATTTAACCTTCTTTTTTTTTGTCTTTTTACTCAAAGGCAGCGTATTCATAATCGTATGCTAAGTGATCTAATTTGTTTTCTTACTCAGTCCAATGTGCCAATTAATGTAGAGGTTTGGGCCCATGTTTTTTCATATATTAATTAATTTTACAGCAGTAATATAAGAATAATTTGTTTATATAAAGTTTTTAGAATTTTTATATATTATTAAACAAATAAATATATTTAATATTATAAATTTTAAATAAATAATTAAAATTAATTATTTAAATAATACATAAAATAAGATAAAAATAATATAAAAATTATTCCTAAATTCTTTTCTTTAATTTAGAAGTATAGACTCATTTGCCGTTGATAAATAGGAACAGAGAAGATTACATACCTATGGGTGGCTCTGCACCCCTCTTACCTTTATAGAGGAGCGGTCATTGTATTAGCGGGGTGATGCGAGCCGTTTCCCTCTCGAGGATGAAGCTTAAAAAATACTTTATTTGTATACTTAAATCTTCTTTTATATATGTTTACTATTTACAATTTCTTTATAAATTAATTAATACGTGTAAAATTATTAATTATTAAAAATATTTTAAAATAGATTTACATTAATTATTATTATAAAAGTTTATAATTAGCAAAAACATTCTTTTAAAATACAAATGAACCAAGCAAAACATGGTTTGAGATCTAGTTAGTATTAGAATTTTATAGAGAATTAGAAAAAATATTGAAAATTTTTAATTTTAATTTTTTCAGAAGTTAAATCCATTCGACTCAATTTAAAATCCATAT